TTAGTTTGAACTGAGTCAATTTAAATCATTAGCAGTCACTGTTCAACTTCTATTACAACAAACTTCATTAACAGGTATATAATTTGCGTAGAATCACAAGAAATCCTATTAAATAAAGGAAATGGGAGTCTACCGATAAAGTTCAAATTTGTTAATACCAAGAATAGGTACTATAAGTACCTAAAGTGATGAAGCGACAATTTGTACCAATTGATCTATCATATATTGTCGGATCCGACAGGATATGATTATTTTACGAGTAGTTACTTTTAAGAATATGGCCAGGGTAGAGTGAGTGACCGAATTTAGATATTTTATGCACTTATTGTCCAGAGTTTTACCGGGGCTCCGGCTCGACGTACAGGAGAAGGAACGGGGTGGTTTTAAGTCTATAAGAGTCTGACACTCCCTCCCGCCTCACCCAGGCGGGGGCAGTCATTCGATGATTTTCTCCCCTTAAAAAAAATTGTCCGGAGTTACGGACAACCTAGCGGATAACTGGAGCCTCGGATTTAAGCAGGAGTATACACGGGGTGGTTTTTAGTCAGTAAGAGTAACACTCACTTGCCTAGCCCAATGGCAGGTACACTTATTTTATGTTGTCTACATGTGTATAATTTTGTTAGAACCTAACTATTTTAGATAGTAGATGTGAACACCGCCTTTTTATTTATTTACCATGCCGGACTGCCATCAATGGTAATCATTTACAACATTTAGTGATCATTCACTACATTTTTGGTGTTAAGTATATATTTTTGCTAAAAGAACTTAGGGTGTCTAAGTATTTTCTGGTGGTTATAATACCTATTTAATCCCGTTTTTATTCTGATGTACCTATTGTTGTGATTGTGCGTACTGCTAAAGAGTGGAATTCTTTGCGAGAGTCTGTATTTCCTGAAGGGTATAACCTGGGAGTCTTCAAGGCCCGAGTGAAGAGGTTGCTTATGAGACGACGTGCTCCATCGTAGACAGCATCATTGCTTACCACCAGGCGAGATAGTGGTCAAACGTCGCCCCATCAAATATAAAAAAAAAATTTCAAGAATTTCATTTAATTTTTAGTTTTTGGCAATAGACTCGTCTTATAAGTACATGGCAAAGAAACAAAGTCCTAAAGAAGATGATTTATTAATTAAATAGTACATGCATAGATTACAGCTGCATTCCACGATTACATTCCCATGCTTTGCTTATAACCGTTGCGTCGGTTTTACATTACGCGAGAGTATGATATTACATAGCTTTCCCTAACGAATAAGCAAAAATACTAAAATTTTTGTTCTATCTGGCTAGGGCTACCTATGATAAATGTACTAGTATATCAACACCAACAGTCCATGACAGACCATTATGACTAGACAATTCTTTAGATTATATAGACTGCAATTCCTCAAAGTCAAAGTCAAAATCATTTATTACAATTAGACCAGGAAGGCACTTTTGAACGTCAGCAACAAGAATTTAGAAGCGAAGCTAGTTGCTCATTCCAAAGTGTAGATTCCTATGGAGAAGAACGAGCAAGAAACACCATAGGTTACACTTTTTCAATCGGGTTTACAATACCAATCTCTAGTTACATAGTTTCCAATTGTACCATTAACCAACAATACCATTTTCAAGTTATAAATGAGTTTCCTCGTATAGAAGGATAGGGTACTAGCTGTGCCTGCGACTTCGTTCGCGTGGAATAGTGATTTACTGCGCTTACCCCGTAGGTGATAGCATGATAATATGTAGCCTATATGTTGATCCGACCTGTTAGTAATAATCTTACAAATATATAAAGTAAATCTAAGAAGTACTTTTTGAGTATAACCCGAACATATACATACAGACAAACAGACAAAAATTCTAAAAACCATATTTTTGGCATCAGTATCGACTGTAGAACATGCCTCAAGTATTCTTTTAATATTCAATGTACCTACAGTTTTGACTTTTATACGATTTCATTATATGAATAGAAGATACCTATATGCTCTCGAAACGCTGACAAAAAGGAATTGTTTTTACAATTTTAAATAGTTTTTTTTTGTGTTATTCATGCAACATCAGCCTTGAGCAGTTGATTACAACTATTGTTACATAAAATAAACATTTAATTCCTTACTTTTGTGAAAATAAAACTTCTTTTTGTCCATCACCTGATGGTGTTTTTCGGGAGCGTTCCGTTCACACCCTGTATTTTAACATTTCTTTCTTAAAAAAAAAAACGTTGGCCCACACTAGGATATTCTCCTGTGTCGTGGGTGCGTTTACAAACAGACATACAAGTTCACATACACATGACACCCAGACCCGAAACAACTATTTGTGGATCACACAAAATGTTGTTCCGTGCGGGAATCGAACCCGCGACACGTTGCATGGCAGTCGATTGCCCAGCCACCGCTCTAACCGTGTTGTCTTTTTTATTTAAATGACTCTTACCTAATCTCTAAAATATTCAATTCAATGTTCCTTCCGAGTTTAAGTTAAAGCGGTTTATTTATTTTTGATGGTAAGATAACCTACTTTGACTTTACCATAATTATTTCTTATAGTGAATGGGAATGAGACGGTTTACTGTTCTTGTTAAATATTTTATAATAGAACCCTTGTTAATTTGTGTTCATGAATGGTGGGTATATCATTATAATGTGATTCTAGCTATGTTAGTCGTGAATCTATATATTATATATATAAAAATGAAACCCGTTTCCCGTTGTCGCGCCATAACTTGTGAACGGCTAGACCGATTCGGCTGTTTTTTTTGTTGTGTTTGTTATTGTCAGGAGAAGGATCTTATGACAGAAAGAGGTCCTAAAAATCTTACGGGAACGGGAGGAAACGGGATTGCGCGTACGAAGTCGCGGGCATAAGCTAGTAGTGTATAAATTGATTGAAGTAATGAAATTATCGCCTGAATACTAAAAGGTTACTTACTCGATTTTAAGTTGTACATATTTAAATATCGTGCTATCTCTTTCATTTTACAAAGAATTTGTAGTGGCAGAACTATTCCTGAGTATTTAAAATTAAGTGGTGTTTGAGTATTTGGACATATGGAATTATATCACTGGTTTAGTACATATTTTTAAAAACATTTTCAAATTTATTGAGTACTAGCGACCCACCCCGGCTTCGCGCGGGTTCAATATGCATGTATTATACATATAATACATACCATCTTAAGAATCACTCTATCTATTTAAAAAAAAAGCATTAATATGAGTTGCGTAGTTTTAAAGATCTAAGCATACATAGAGACAGACTGCCGGCGGATAGCGACTTTGTTTTATACTATGTACCTAGTGATTAGATTGGTCCGTTATTACAAAATCTATTGCCTTTTTTTTTTTTTTTTTTTTTTTTAGGGGGGGAAAATCATCGAATGACTCCCCCCGCCTGGGTGAGGCGGGAGGGAGTGTCAGACTCTTACTGACTAAAAACCACCCCGTTCCTTCTCCTGCACGTCGAGCCGGAGCCCCGGTTACCCGTTAGGTTCTCCGCGACTCCGAATCGGCATCGGCCCTATTGGGCCCCATCTGTGGTGGTCTGATGGCTCTTTGAGGCGCGCGCGGAACGCGACGCGCCGTACGCTCGGGTCTGTTTCTGGTCGGACGGGGAGCCACCCATGCTCGCCGTCCGCAGGCCCGCGCTTACGGTGGCCGGAGATCGTCCCGCGATCCCCGACGCCCGGTGTGTCCTTCGCGATGGCTGGGTTGCGAGGAGGCAGCGCTTCGCTGCCTCACGCGTCCCGCCTCCTCCTTAGCTAGCATGACTGCTTCGCAAAAGGAGGAGACGGCATCCCAATCCCCCTCGCTCCGCATCATGGCCTGCACTAGGCCCGGACGCGAGAGGTCGCCATCGCCGATCACTTCCCTGAGGACACGGCGGTGCTCAGCCCACGAAGGGCATTCTCCCACCGTGTGTTCCACCGTGTCCTCAGGGCGGTCCTCGCAGTGATGACACCCGGGCGTTTCCTCCCGCCCCATCAGACACAGGTACCTCCCGAAACTTCCATGTCCGGTGAGGACCTGCGTCAGGCGGTAGGTGAGGACGCCGTAGCGTCTCTCAAGCCACTCCTCAAAGAGGGGACTTACCGCTGCGATGGCAGCGAGCCCAGCCCTCGGTTGCGACAGTCGTTGCTGCCATTCCGCCATGAGATCGCGCCGGAGCTCATCCCGCCACGCACCTATCTGGCGCGGCAGCGGGGTTTCGCCCCGGCGACGTGCCTCCGCGCGCATGCTGTACACGCGCGCGAGCACCTTCGCCTCAAAATCTATTGCCTAGCATAGCATAAATCTATGTACTAATAAAAGTCAGCAAAGTAACACTGAGGTAGGAAGATCTGTAGGGATTCAATACCTACCTTGTAAAAATTAATTTTAAGTATTTACGATATCAAGTTACTGCATAGATAAAGGACTGGAAATAAACAGACATACTTAGGTTTAATAAACATTATATTCTCATTAAAAACATATAGATACAATCTCGACTGCAATAAAATGTTGTGTAACAGTTCCGTAGAAGTTGCGTAGGCCCTGCGTAGTAGACACGTAAACGCCGCGTAGCAGCTGCGTAGCACTCACAAAATGTCTACAAAAAAAATCTCTACAAATGCCTATTAAATATTGTAGGCATGTACTTCAAATTTTGCATGAATATTACTAACAGGTTGGTACAACATATAGGCTACATATTATCCCGGTATCACCTACGGGGAAAGAGCTGAGAATCGCTATATCACACGGACGAAGTCACGGGCACAGCTAGTATTAAAATATTAAATTAGTCATGCTCACATATTAATTTATATTTAAAATAATAAGCAAAAAACTGCACTCGTCTTACCATATTTGGCTACCATAATTTCGTTTAACACATCATTATGTCGTGTGCATTGCACATAAAATTCAAAATGACAGCGTTGACATCTGATATCATTCAATTACTTACACTTATGTAACTTGATACATCATAACTAATTTAATTTTGTCTTTTTGTTTAAGTGCCAATGACGTAATTTCAAAATGAAGGATATAGATCTGAAGTTGCCCACGCGCAATGTGCTAACCGGCGCTGTAGTGAACTGGGAGGACGACGAGATGGGTTTTGGTGATAGTCCAAGTAACCTGACCTTGGCGTGGAAAGATCTTTCGGTTTATAGGAAGAAGAAGACACAGACCAGTATATGGAGATCACCGGTTTATGAGGAGATCAGAGTTTTACATGGAGGTATGTATGGGATTATACTATAGTTTAGTAGAGTATTACTATAGCGAAAATATGTTAGGTTCCCGGTTAAAAAAATTAACCATAAAATTGGTTATTTAAATTTGAATCAGTTGTAATCAGCCTGCGTCGTTGGCTGAGCGCAGGCTCTGCCGGGCAAGGGGTCTCGGGTTCGATACCTGAGTCGGGCAAAATATGGGTTTAAAAAAAATCTTAGTATTAGCTTGGAGTTTGGAATTGTGCCCGGTTTATGGATATAGGCTCACCCTGACCCCCTATTACATGGGGCTCATAACATAAATAGTGAAAAGAGTGTGTTACATTGTACAGTGGCATTAAGCGCCATAATGTGCACCTCTGTCTACCCCTTCGAGGATAAAAAACGTGATGTTATGTTATGTCTAGTATGAAAATGCGCACACTTTTATACAGGTTAATTACTTATAATTCAATTCTTTTGCCTATAAAACTGTAACATAAACGATGGGTTTAAACGAGAACTTCATCAAGAAGTGAAGCTACCGCTGAGCGATGAACTTATTACCTGATAATCATGTATTTTGAATTTTCTTATGTTAGTTGACTTTACATCTTTATTATATACACATATATATGGAGATTATTATATTTTATGATACTCCTTTTATTTGACAGCGAGTCAATCAATTTACGGATCATAAATTACCGTCGATTTGATCTGGAACAGGTGCTTCATTATGCTTACTAATCTTAATAATTATCTAGTCATAAAAATTGACTTATTTGAGTGCACCTGGATGTTATATTTGGCGATAAAAATGTATAATTCATCATTCGGTAGAAAAAAAAAACATTCGTCAACCGGTAGTCTTGGCGTAGTATTTATTTTTGGAAAAATATTGAATTGATTAAATTTTTTGTATTATTTTAAGTAACAGAAAGATGAATAGTATTATTATGCCAGTATTAGATTTCATATTTAACTGTTTGAGTAAAAAAATGTAAATAGAAATATAGTTTTTAAAATGGAGATTTTTAGATAATGACTAGCTGACCCCGCAAACTTCGTACCGTTTACAATTTTTTTCTCACTTATTAAACCTTCCCTGGACGTCTACGTACATTTCAAGACTCAAATCAGCGAAATCGGTTCAGCCGTTCTCGAGTCCTAGCTATACCTAACGAACAGCAATTCATTTTTATATATAAGACTAGTTGAGCCCGCTACTTCGTCTGCGTGGAATAGTGATTCACAGCTCCTCCCCTGTAGTTGATAGCATGATAATATATAATAACAAACAATAACCCGACCTGTTAGTAACATTCATTCAAAATTTGAAGTAAATCCATGCAGCACTTTATGAAATCATCCCGGACATACATACAAACAAACATAAAATTCAAAAACCATATTTTTGGCTTCGGTATCAATTGTAGATCATGACCCAAGTATTCTTTTTAAAAAATATTCAATTTACACTTTTGAATTTTCTACGATTTTATTATATGTACCTATAGATAGTTAGACTAGTGACTAATAATACAAAATTACCTCATAAAAATGTAATCAAATACATATTATTTTGTTAATAATAACTTATTAATGCTGATCTAGAACACACATGTAAAAAAACTGGATTCCAATACTTACAATATTTTCCGAACAACCTTTTTATTATTATATAAAAAATCAAAATGTAATAATAAAATATTACAATTAAAATGAGTTGATACATAATTCATTTCTCTAATAACCAATATATTGCACAATCATTATTATTAAAAAAATATCACGTGGACTCGTATTTAATATGTTAGTTTCAATATTTAATATACTTTAAATTGACTAGAATATACGGCTCAATCATTTACGTGCTTGCTCATAAGTGTTCGGATAGGTTAGGACCCCGGGTGTAAATCGTAACAAGTCGACCTCACCCGAATAGTTACGTGCACTTCAAACTCTAATTAATGTTCTATGTTTAACAATAATCTATATAAATAAAAATGGATTTGCGTTCATTAGTTTCGCTAAAACTCTAGAACCGCTGAACCGATTTGGCTGATTTTGGTCTTGAAAGTTCGTGCCGTGGAAGTTCAGGGAAGGTTTAAAAGGTAAGAATAACAATTTAGAGCTACGAAGTCTGCCGGAGCAGCTACATAGTTAATAAATAAAAATGTTATTCAAAACTCTAACCCAAAAAAATTGAATAACTTTACACAAAAGCGAATTTTTATGACCCAATTATTAGGTTTTTCTCTCCATATTAAATAGGCGGCCGTATTAATAAACAGATGTTAAAATAAATTATTTCGTAAGCAACCCAATTAAATTGTTGTTATTTTAAATACAGTTCTGATGTCGTGGGCTTAAAGCTTCGATTTGTTTGTAGATTATGGTGTTTATTGTAATTTATGTAAATATATACATATAGTTACTTATGTTGTATGACATTATATATTCTGTTGTATACCGCGTTTTATTTACTGTTTAAGACAAAAGTTACAGATCACACACACATCTTTAGAAGAATAAACGTCAATTTTAATGTAATAAATAGAATTCGAGGTGTGAATAGATACGGGAATGGGGTGAATAGATACTATGAAAAATGTCTATTCACCCCTCGAATTCTATTTACCACGTTTTACCCATTAATGCGTACAGTCAATAATTTCAAACCAGTCAGCTATGTATGTTTATATGATTTATTAGTTTTCAGTAATCTCTGTCACTTTCAGCTGAGTCATATGAATGTCAACTTTATAATTGAAAATTTTCTTTTCAGTCAATGGAATCGTGTCTTCAGGGAACTTGGTTGCCTTAATGGGTTCTAGGTAAGAGTTCATTACATTAACATTATTGTCTTATTCTCTTATACTATTATATAAAGCGGAAGAGATTGTTTTTTTGTTTGTTTGTTTGAACGCGCTAATCTCCGTAACTACAAGTCTGATTTGAATAATTATTTTTGTGTTGGATAGCGCATTTATCGAGGATGGCTAGGCTATAAAACACACAAACAAACATCACGCTACGACGGAAGTAGGTAGTATTTACTAAAGTATCACCATAAATAAAGTTAATTAACAATTGCACATTAACTATTTATATTGCCTATTCCATATTTCGATCGATATCTAATATTTCTGCCATTGTTAACAATAATTATTAACATTATAAATGTGAAAGTGTGTGTGCATGTTTGTCACTCAATCACGTGAAAACGACTGAAGCGATTGGGGTGAAATTCGGAATAGGGATAGATTATGGACTGGAATAGCACATAGGCTTTTTTCATTTTCACTTTTTAAGCCGCTGGCAGAAGCGAGTAGTATATAAAGTAGTAATGTTTGGTAATCTTTGCTTTATTCCCTTGTAGGTGGATATTAATCTCATTTCATTAAACAATGGACGTGATGTATTTAATTGCATTTTTGATTAATCGTCATTGCACCAATCTCTTTCACTCAGTCCTACACACATTCAACAAGAAAAGAAAAGGGCGCTTACTCTTAAAACCAATCTCAATGTCAATGCAATTTCAATCCAATACAATCTCAATAATTATTCAATGTCAATACTATACAACCAGACTACGGAATATGAAGCCAAACTCAATACCATTTAGTTAATTCAATATCCACGCAATACGGATGCAATGGGCGCTAGTGTTACAACTCAAGAGTACGAAATTTCACAATACCAATGTCGATCGATTGGAGTTGGATTCAAGAGTAAACCTCCAGATTTTTATCCCACGGGACCATTGACTGCCGGTGCATGGACTCCGGTGACTAGTAGAAAATAAATCATTGTAGTACGAATTGTTTAAATTCTGATGGTGTTTAGATGGTGTATTGCTACTTGCTATCATGTAAAGGCATTTAATCTCATTGCGAGTCTAAACTTAAATTATTAATCTCACTATCTTACTATACACGTATTACAAATTACCCGTTTCTGTCCAGTGGTGCTGGTAAAACGACATTGTTAGCAGCCATAAGCAGAAGAGACAAGAGCGCTATGACCGGCTACCTAATGCTAAACGGCAGATTGGCTGGAGCCGACCTGATATCCAGGATCTCTGGCTTTGTACCACAGGAGGACTTGGCTATCGAAGACCTGACTGTAGATGAACATATGACATTTATGGTAAGAGATATTTATGTTTATAGTAATTATAGATCTAGGTCGCGGTGGTATGAAAATTTCAAAACACCGGGTTTGAAATCTACTAACAAGTACCAATTGGAACAACAGAATTTTTCTGAGTTAAGTAAGTAGGTATATGTAGTTTCTAAGATTATTTAGACACCTCTGGAAAACTGTAAAGGAAACATCGTGAGGTAACCTGGGATTATAATTTCTAATAATTATAATCCACATTGAGCAAGCATGCGTGGCGATGAATGCTCAAACCTTCTTCATGTGAGAAGAGGCTTTGATCAGCAGTGGGCATTTATAGGCTGCTAATGATGGATCTATAATAATCGTGTTTTTTGCTTGTCCAATTTAAACCTCTATAATGAGTACCGCCAATGATTCCACCCATATCTATATCATAAATAAAGTAGGCGCGTCTTGTTTGTTACTAAGGTCGATTAACTTTTTTAATTAATAAATTATTATTCATCACCAGATCTTGTTACTTTGCTCCCTATCTATAATCTCTGATTGTTATCTGATACGCAATCTATATCAAAATAATTTGACATTTCACGATATCTCGTCCTCTGATTTGATGTCTAAGATCAAAGGTTTAAAATAAATTGGATAGCATCATTAAAATTTATTGAAATAAACAACATCATTTTTAGCTTGATTAATTAAAGCTTATGTGTAAGTAATTTGGATCTCGTAAGTTGAACTTTGTTGAACTTTTCGACGTCTCTCACGGTTGTGCACGGAATATGATCGGAATTCTCTTTCGAAGTCTATAGTGATTTTAAAGATATGACGAGGAAATGAAAGTAACCTTTTAGTAAGAAGAAGGGGTCAACATACTGGAACAGTAATGGTGCCAATTGTTGTAATAGACCTAAGTAGACCTGGGCTTTTCTACTGCTAAAATGTTTCTATAGGATTCCATCCTGCTTTAAAGTTACGAAAACTGTTTTATAGTTTCAAGTGTGGGAGAACTATGTTTCGGCCGGCTCGACCGGAGCGATACTGCGGAATCCCCTACAATCCTCAAATTCCTAATTCCCAAAAGGCCGGTATAGCACTTGTAAACTTGTAACGCCTCTGGTGTTTCACGTGTCCATGGGCGGCACCGATTGCGTACTATCAGGTCATCCGTCTGTTCGTTTACCAAGGAGTAAAGGATAAGCCTATAAAAAAATGCTCCAAGATGTTTAAAACCATTATTTTGTATTAAATATTTTTCGTCATTTGTATTATCTGAATTTTTATCTCTATTAAATAAGGAATTACTAAAAATCGATTGTTTAACACCCTCTTTTTTAACCAGGCTCGTATGATGATGGACAAGAGGTCAACCAAGATAGTTCGAGCGAGGCGCGTGCAGCAACTGCTCAGCGAGCTTGGAGTGAACAATTGCACCAAAACTAAGCTGAAGGCTCTGTCAGGAGGAGAGAGGAAGAGAGTGTCTTTGGCTGTTCAGGTAAGTCAGGAAATGGAAGGAAGTAGTATGATAAAGATGTCTGCCAATGAGGTGTTAAGCTTGGTCCATCTGATGGAGAATAGAAAGCGGTTGCTCTAACTAATGACCGCTTGCAACGCCCCTAAGTGTCGCTTGCGCATGGTAGAATATCGCGCCATCTTCCTTTTGAAGTTTGATTTTCTTTCATAAGATTTATTTACAATTCTTAGAAATTAGGAATTCATATTAAAAACTAGGTATTGATCATTATGATGTAGGTAGCCAAAACTTTTGTGCATTTCTAGATCCGAGGCCTAAACACCTAAACTTAAACCTATGGACTCCACCACTCAAACCTATCCAACCTAAGGAGTTTCTTGCTCGTTCTTCTCCAAATGAGCAAATAGGTTCTGTTTTAATTTTTTTTTGACGTTCAAAAGTGCCTTTCTGGTCTAATTAAAATAAATGATACTGACTTTGACAAATCTTTTTTGATCAACAGCTTCTAAATGACCCTCCAATCCTCTTCTGCGATGAACCAACAACAGGGTTAGATAGTTGGGGAGCCGCTGCCGTAGTCTCTCGCCTTAGGAAGCTGGCCATTGGAGGCAAACTGGTCGTATGTTCCGTGCACCAGCCAGCTTCTGGAGTATTCGAACTGTTCCACCAAGTCGTACTCTTGGCTAATGGAAGAATAGCTTTCCACGGCACCATTGAACAAGCTGATCAGTTCTTCGCATCGTGAGTATATTTTTTCTTCTTAATTTTGTTTTTCATCATGAGTAATTCATCCTTTTTATTTTTGTGTTGATGTTTCGTAAAAACATTACCTACAAGTTAGCAACAGATAAGTGATTTCACTGTAGGTATATATAAGTCGATATGATTAACGTTGATTTTCTTTTTCTACGTCACGACAGATTTCATGTTTCTCTTATTCATTCTGTTGATGCCGTGTTTTTTTTTCTTTCATTTCTTGCCATGCAAATATATACGAAATATTTACATTAGCAATTAACTACTTCCCACGCAAACAACCTAGATTTGTACTGAATGAACAATGTTTTTTATTTGTTTTTATTTTCTCTATAACCTGTTATTACGGATATTCAATTAACACTAATGATCTGATGGATCTGATAGCTCTAAATAGTCTAAATCAAAAGGTTACAACCTCCTTATATAGCACCGCGCAGTCTAGATCAATTCAGCTCACAATTAATATTTTTTGCTTCAGTATTCTGTGTTAGCTAATTAAGTATTTATGCTAAAATCTGGATTTTAATTATTTTATAACACATAAGTGGTTTAATCTGTTTATTTCATCTTGTTATTGACAGCTGTGTGTTGTTAGTATTTGATTAAGTAGATAGATACCTGAACCATGTATAATGAATTAGTATTTATTTAAACAAATTTGGATGATTCAAAGAAAGTTAAGATTACCTACATAATATTTATTTATTTTTAGCCATAGTCGTCCTACTGCAGGGTAAAAATCTCCCTACCTTCCTTCCACTCCCACCACGGATGGGACCCAACAGGGCTGATGCCGATACGGAGCCGCGGAGAACTTAACGGTTTACCGGGGCTCCGGCTCAAAGTTCAGGAGTAGGAACGGAGTGGTTTTTAGTCAGTAAGGGTCTAACAATCCTTTCCGCTTCACCCAGGCGGGAAAATGCAACTGATGATTTTCCCCCCGTTAAAATAAACCCTCCTTCCACTCAGGTCTTCTTATAAATTTCTGTGGCCAATCCTTTTCATAGGTGTCCAGTTCATCCCGCCATCTTCTTCTGGGCTTACCGCAATTAGGACTTACTTGCATAAAAACAATTTACATGTTTCTAAACCTTAGACTTTCTATCCGCCTATAATCTAAAACCTAAGGATTCAGACGTAAGTGATGTAGTTTAATAATTTTCTCAGTATATTCACGTGAGTAACCCGCGATTTTTAGTTAATATAGTTATTATAAAAACATTTAATAATTTCGTTTCAAATTAATAGTAGTTTGTGGTCGTAGATACAAATGACGTCATTAGCAACGATGCAGATCAAAAACAAATGTTGCAATAACCACATTTACCAATCAATAGTTACATTTTAATTGTAGTACTGTTATTCTGATGAAACTAAATTACCATAAGCTATTAACTTTATAGTCGGCCCTTGAATTAACGTATCACATTCAATGATAAACAAATGGTGATGGGTTTCACGTATTTAATGAGATTGCCCTTTGATTCGTACTTACAAAGTGGATGGTGGGTACAGAAAGGCGAAAGAAAATAAAGGGTAAACATAGTTACAGTAAGCAAGAGTCTGATATGTAGTGTTGGTCACTAAATCACTTGTGATGTGTTCAATGTTGCATATGTAGTGATTTATTTATTTTTATTCATTTACTAGGCTCTGCCCGCGACTTCGTACGCGCAATCCCGTTTTTTACCGTTCCCATTGGTGATTTAAAGTTGACGTAAAGTTAGAAGTCCGGATTAAATAATAGGGTACTTTTTATCTCGGAAAAATTTGATATTCCCGAGGGAAAACAAAAGTATTGGTATAGATGGCGCTGTGTATATTGGTATATGTCGCATAGGCTATTTTTTATCCTTTTGTGACGCGAGCGAAGCCGCGGGTAAAAGCTAGTACTAAATAATTTGGCTTGGGGCAAAATAATGGGGCGTCTACCAATATTCTGTCTTTGTGACTAAGAATTCAAATGCCGAAAACAACAATAGTATGTTTCCCAACCCGGACATGTTTGTCACCATGTAAAAATTAAAATTTATCGATTCACACAACTCATTAAAATCAATAAAATATATCATCTGGCCATCACCTGCGAGATTCTATCTAGTTCTATTGTTGTAGAAGTATAAATATATGCAAATTGTGACTATTTTTGCTAATTAATTAACATAATATCTAATTGTGAAAATCCTAATGTCATGTGGCAGTCGTTATCGAGAACAACACAATGGCTTATGTTAATTTATCATCTTGATTTTAATTAAGCCACAGCTGGGTTGCTAGAAATAGATTTCCGTTGACTTTCTAGTACTTAATTTTAAGTTAATAGGACTGGTTCGTTCTTATGTGGTGTCAATACTCCATCCATATACCATATCCATAAAATCCGGTAGTAAATAGGTAAACGTAACTGTTTGACGAGGAACTCTGAGTATGAGCCTCCAGCATGGCTTGAAACTAATCGAGTTCCTCTTCAGACAGTTACGTGAGTAAGCTAAAAACATAATTAATTTAGTATGTCTTAAAAGAGTCTTTCTGAACAGAAGATTTTTTTCAAATCTCAGCCTTAATGGTTTTATAAATTATCATGTTCAAACTGATTAATTATTTAATTTGTCTCTGGTTGTTCCCTCATGACTGAGAATTGTCATCATTGTTCATCTCCATCGGCTCCTGCGGAATAATTTAATTTAAAGGTACATACTAGTTAAGTAGACTAAGACACACATTTGGCCCTTATTGGATAACTTTCAACTCTACAACGATCTACCTAAAGTTCTTTTTTAAATCACCAGAAATGAATGTTTACAAAATTATACAAGCTTTAAAGAAAATTAAACTTAACTCAGATGCACATTAAAGCTAATCTATATATATAAAAGAAAGTCGTGTTAGTTACACCACTTATAACTCAAGAACGGTAGAATAGATTTGGCTGGAAATTGGTAGGGAGGTAGCTTAGAGTCAGGAGACGGACATAGGATACTTTTTAACCAATACTTTTTTTTTACTTTTTACCGAAAATCACGAACGGGTACGGGAAACAATGGGATTACGCGTACGAAGTCGCGGGCAGAAGCTAGTTTTCTATAAACTGTAAATATTCGAATTCTCCTTGAATGCGGAAATATTCAAGTATGTTTAAGATGATACATAATTACCTTGACATACTTACATAATTCAATAACTGGGTATATTATCCAATAATTAAAATTTTATATAATAAAAATTAATTGTCGTACTTTATGTATGGAAGATTTTTAGGGAACAGAGAGTATAATACCTTACCATCGGAAAAGGACGATTCTCCGGCCAGGCGAGGTGTTCGTGTCTGACTGGCTTTCTGCCCGACAGTTGTTCGTTGGGATTTTCTACCCCGGTTAATTCGCATGTAAACTTCATGTAGGATTTTATGACGTCATCCGTGGATTTTGTTGTCATTGACGGTCTATTTGCGTGAGCTGTCATTTGACATGTGACACAGATGATTTACATGCGAGAAGCCCAATTATTGTTCAAGTGCTGTAAACGCTGTATTCAAAACAGAATGTACTCTATTCAAATGATAGCGTTGTCAGTAGGGAGGTGTATAATAATAGGGTTCTGTAGAATTACATTATATTAATACTGATGTAGTAGACATCACTTAGTAGCAATAAATCTCACTCACGCCATCGGTTGATCCGATGGCTCTGGTAGTGTTGCAAGTGCGATTGCACCCATTCGATTTTAAAACGAAAAGTTATTTTTCTTAGGACATCAAAAACTCGTTTATACATATTTTTTGCCAATCCGGAACTTAGAACAGGCATAATTTATAATACAGTGATAAATATGTATGTTCAGTAATAGTTAGTAATCCAATATGCTATTAAGTAAATATAAATATCATTCTCACACAGACTTAAAAAGATTTTTTGCGGAAAGATCTGGCAACATTGATAAGAACCCAGATTTAAATAACACTAATCTTTGTAATCGTAAACCGACTTCTTAAAATTGTGATATTCATATTGATTATAGATAGGGGAGTACATTGAGATTATTTTAAGGTCACCATGTGATAAGATTAATAAATCTCTGCTTAGATTAATTTTCATAGTCTTTTGACATTTTGATGTCGATTACTGACATGAAATTTGGATTTTTTTGCTGATAGGAACACGTTGTAAAGGATTAGAAATAGTTACTAGATAGATTTAGACTGCGTAGTTGGTGCGGTGGCTGGATAACTGACTGCCGTGCAACGTGCCGAGGGTCCGAATCCCGCACGGAACAACTCTATGTTTGATTCACAATTTGTTGTCTCAGGTCTGGGTGTCATGTGTATGTGAAGAATGTATGTAAATGTGTTTGGAAACGTACCCACGATACAGGGGTTTAAGAGTTTATCCTAATGTGCGGCAACGCTTTTTTTAAAGTAATAAAATTAAACAAGTACAATATTATTGTAGTCAAACATTTATTTTTCTCGACCGACATTTTAGGGATGTCGGTAATTTAATGAAACTACGGGGCTAACGCTGAAATACTCAAACACTACTCAATTGTCGCGCTTAAATATAGTTCTGTCTCTACAAATTCTTTATAAAATAACAGAGATAGCACGAATTTTAAATACAACTTAAAATTGAGTAGCCTTTCAGTATTCGGGGGTAAGGGTAAGTCAAGTGAGTTTCATTTAAGGGATTGTTATTTTTTGTAGTGTCAACATTAATCATGGGTCATATTTTAATGCAAGTCTAGTAATGTTAACTTGACCAATGACGCCGTGCCGTCGTGTTTTTATTGCATAAGCTGGTAAACGAGCAGACGTATCACCTGATGGTAAGCAATCGGCGTGGAACACTAAAGGCATTACAAGTGCGTTACCGGCCTTTTGGGGATTAGGAGTTTGAGAATCGTTGGGGATTCAGGAATTGGAGAGATTGGGGAAGGGGAGGGTAATTGGGCCTCCGGTAACCTCACTCACACGACAAAACACGGCGCAAGCGTTACTTCACGTCGGTTTTCTGTGAGGCCGTGGTATCACTCCGGTCGAGTCGGCCCATTCGTGCTGAAGCATGGCTCTCCCACACTTAAATTGTTATGTAAAAAGGTCACAAAAAATATTTATGCAGTTTTTCTTTAAACATGTACAATAAAATACACTTTTGACACAGCACGAACACGACACAGTTAACAGATGTAGGAAATATTATCTATACTCATGAATATTTTTATTTCAATGCAAATATATGAGTATGACATTATAAAAACACGTGTATGAGTGCATCTTATCAAAATAAGGATATTTGTAGCATTATACCTAATTGATATGAGAACATAGATTAACATGAATGTTTTATATCATGTTACGGCAAAAACAGGTCCATAAGATATGTAGTACAATTTTTGTTAGAGAAACACAGCCGATAGAAGCAGGATACAGTCCTAGCTGCCGACGCCCTAGTTGGTAACTGGGACTCCTGCTCGAAGCAGTAATGGGGACGGAAGATTGTAATTATTTCTCTCTCTATTATTTCCTCCTAAAAAAAAGTGGAGAAACAAAGCGAATGTTTTTAATTCTCTTATTTTTTTTTTTCGAGTTGATAAAATATTCCTTAACTCGTTGAGTACCGTCATTATAGACACAATTAAAGAACAATAGGTTGCGGTCACCGGTGTCCTCGCGGTGTTTGACAGTTTAAGTAAAGTCGTGGTGGTTCGGAGGTTTAAGATTCTTTATGCATGAGAGAGATTGCGAGTTCAAAACCTACTAACGACAAGTACCAATGTGACTTTTTCCGGGTTATATGTACTTTCTAACATGATCTAGACACCACTGACAAACGGTGCAAGACAACATCGTGAGGAAACCTGGGCTTTATAATTTCTAATTATAAGTTTGAAATTGATAACCCGCATTGAGCAAGGAGCCTTTGGTCAGCAGTGGCCACTTATAGGCCGTTGATGATAATGAATACATTCCTTCCTTATTTGATACTAAATCTTTAACTTCCCATACTGCAAAAAATACACTAATAATAAGAAGATTGTATCTTAATCATTTGAATTAGTAGCAGTTTCAGCTTATCGTTCGACATTTATCTCAATGTAACAGTCAGGTATTATGTTATTCATGTATGTTTAAGTTGGAATTATCTACCTAATGTAGTAGTAGGTATTATATATCTTTTTTTGGACCTAGTTTTTATATATACCGTTTTCTGCCTGTGGATTCACTTCCGTTAATAATAATTTGTTAATCAATACAAAATGCGCATTGATTCCTTTTCTCTTTATGCTTTAGCTTTCACACTACGTCTGGTATAAAATTTATGATTTTTTTAAAGTAGGTATTTTAAGTGAAAGCTTTGAAATATCCCTTATATCTTTCACGAATCCAGTTATGTATAGTTCAATTCCCGCACGGAACAACTCTTTGTGTGTTTCACAAATTGTTGTTTTGGGTCTGGGTATCATGTGTATTTGAAATTATATGTTTGTAAATGCAACCACGACAGAGGAGAAAAATTGCAGTGTGGGGCAACGTTTTATTTTAAAAAAATAATATAAAAGCACAAAAAGGTGCCTTCAAAACGTTTTAAAGTAATACAGTTATTAAAAAATAATTTTATTAACTAAAAACTATGTCCATAACCTCTGCTATATTTAAAACTAAATCGACATTGAAAATATCTATTACCTTATCGAATTATAAAATCAAACACGACCTCTCTACTTATGCATATAGGCTACAAAAATACAAATTTAAATTCACTTACGACACAATTTATTTTTAATATATTCCAGTAATAGATAAGTTCAACCTAGATGAGTAAACAATACTTTATCTATGAATAAAATCATTATCACAAAATTGTCGTTAGGAATGTTAGGATACATCACCATGAGTTCGTTTGTTTGTTTGAACGCACTAATCTGGGGAACTTCTGGTCCGATTTAGATAATTATTTTTGTGTTGGATAGTGCATTTATTGAGGAAGGTTATAGGCGTAACATAATGTTTTCATATATATGTATATATATATATAAACATTATGTTACGGTACGGGTACAGAATTAGCTAGTATCTAATAAAATATTAAGGTTTAGTTTGTTATTCTTTCACGCGCCTAACAGAGTCCCTCATTAGTCTAATTTTCAAACACCACCTAGGTTGATTAATTAAATAATTATGTCAAAACACAGGTGTCTATGACTATACCAGTTTAACGAATTAAAAAATATCGGTATAAAAATACTTAAAAAAATAGGTCCGGCCAGGTGTTTCACTACACATTTAAAGAAAACACCACTTTCAGTGTTTGAAAATCATCATTAAAAGGTAGCTCTGTATATGGAGAATAGGAATTTGAAGACTGTTGAGGATTCAGGGATTTTCATTTTCATTTAATTGCATTTCATGCCTTTCATTCTACCAAGAAGAAACTACAATGTAACAAATACTGATTGAAAAATAGTACCTCACTTCGAAGTTTCTTTTTCAGTCTTCTCTATAGGAATCTGTACTCAGGGCGAGCACATAGGTTCAATAAGAAACGAAATAAACAGCAGACCTGTATGTCTACTCTGATTCAACGTAAAACGAAGTTTCGTCCACAACTACGCAGATTTCAAACAAAGAATAATACATCTTATATTAGTATATTCGAAATAGCAAATATACTAATATAAGATGTACTGTTTGACGTACAGCCGCAAATCACTTGAAACGAAACTTCGCATTCGAGAATCGGAGTAGATCTCCTGTTTACTCTGTCTTTGCTTAATATTGTAATGTACCTAAAGGTAGCTGTTGGTCTGGGTAAAGTAATTTAAAATTGCCCTTCCAACATCAGTAACTTACCAATTCTTTCACAGGCTAAACTTCAAATGCCCTCTCGGTTTCAACGCAGCAGAGTACTACATTTCTCTGCTGGGCATTCAAGCAGACAAGGAGATGGAGAGCCGGGATAGAATCCGACGCATCTGTGATGAATACTCCAGATCTGATATAGCTGCTGAGATCGATAACAAAGTCGGACACGTTAAAGATGAAACTGAATACTTTAATGGCGAAACTGATGAGAAGGTAGGTCCTAAATTAGTGATTTGTTTAGAAATTATTATATGTGCCTACTGCGTCACAGATAATCGACGTAAAACAACGCTTGCGCTGTGTTTCGTCGTGTGAGTGAGGTTACCGAAGGCAATTTTCCAACAATCCTCAAATTCATAATCCCCACAAGGCCGGTAACTGTAACTTTTGTAACAAACCTATTTTGAATAAAAAATAATAGTTTTTAACATAAAATATTAATAAGTTACCAAAGCTTTGCCAAAAATATCAAATAAAGCAATTTTTTATTAGTTATGTCAGACAGCAGCTTTTTACTAACTTCTTACGTATATTTGGTTTCCCTAAACCAGTTAATGGGATTTGCCAATTAATAGTAATAAATTTCAAAGGTTTTAAGGTTGTTAAAGTGGAATCAGATAAAGGAGGCTTTATCTTATCTTATGTTACAAAAATATATTCCGTAATGGAAATCTTTTGGAAGTTAGAAGAATCGACAATTGGGCATATCGAAAAATAATCTCAGATCGTTAAGATAGATTATGTTTTTACTAAATGTCAAATCGATTAAATCATCAACAGTATCACGATTCAAAATACTAATGAATTCAGTTTTAATAAACAACTTGAACATTCAGATAGAAAATGTCAATACGTAAATAAATAATATTTTATTAGTCTATTGTCAAAAGAGATTCTCACGATGATAAAATTACAAATTATAAGAACAAGCATCGAAGATCATTTGAATTTCGTTTTGGAGCTAGATACGATAATTAGTAGGTATCTATTCTAATCTATCTATTGTAAAATGATATCCAATGAATGATTTCATTACAAACGTATTTGTTTTCTTTTTTGTTTCAGGACCAATATTATGAGCGATATGTAACTCTGTAAGTTCGAATCATCTTAATTTTAATTCTTCTATAACTTTTCTAATGCGTTTCTTGTCCCTTTTTTTGCTTTTATCTAGTATTTATTCTATTTTATTTGCCATATTTTTTAGTATAGTTTTATTTTTTCCTTAACACTCTTACAAGTTTTTGAATCACCCGGTTCATCAATTTATTTTAAAACTGAATTAATAGTTCGTTTATGCCGTTGAAGTGATCATAGATTTCTTACAATATATGATGTATTACAGAGTCAAAGTGAATTACTTCGTACAATTCTACTGGTTGATGTGGAGGAACATACAGGCGTTAAAGCGTAACTACACTATTTGGATAGCTGAGTTCTTGTTGCTTATGGTAAGTTTCAAAATCATCGTCAGTTTCATCATCAACCTTATTATTATCTACTTAAAGTTTTTTTATTTGCGTTTCATTCAATTGTAGTTCGAATGTAATTATATTTTGATTTGATTTTGCCTGCACCATTTCTTTATTAGCCATCAAATCTGTACTTAATCTAGATCAAATTCCAATTCTCAGTTCTTTCTTAAACATTAGATCATGCTAACCTTCGATTTCCATTATCGAAATCAAGTTCACATCTCCATCTAATTCTATTCTCTCACAGTTCGTAGGTCTGATAATATCAGTTCCCTACAATGGCCACTTCGATGAGTTGGACCAGCGTGACATACAGAACGTGGAAGGTCTCCTCTACCTGACAATCACAGAAACAATATTCCTCTTCATATACGCCGTGTTCATTACATTCCCGAGCGAGGTTCCTATACTGTTGAGAGAGACAGCTAGTGGATTGTATGCACCGTTACCTTATTATTTATCGAAGATGATATTCTGGGTAAGTGTTGATTTTATATTTCTATTCTATCTTTACTAATAACTGCATAGTAATTTTCATTTTTGTTTCTTTTTGACGTGTAAGAGTTACTTGTAGACGGATAATGAAATAGGTAGTCCATAAGAAAGACATAGATATAAAAACTTTAAATGAGACTCAATAACCATGAAAATTTGGCAAAATTAAGCATATAAGACATTTACAGAAGAATACAATTATTACGACATGATAGATACCCTAGCAGCACATCACCACGCCGCCGCTGTTCTTGTATAAATTGAATACAATGAAAACTGTTACATTGGCTTAAACCCATCCGATTAGAATCACAACGACTTTGATTCATTCAACAAGTTCTTAAACACATAAATCATTCCTAAGGTGGGTGTTCGAATCTCCTTACTGTCAACCATTACCCATTGTCCACAGAAGTAAATATGAGTGTTGATGGAATTATAATGTGATAGAAAGTTTTATTTTTATAGCAAGGCCCTTAAATTGTGTCATCTACAAACGATCACGGCCAAACCAGTTTAGTGTTACCATCGTTAACATTCCGTTTAGTGGTTTTGGAATATTTTTTCCGTAAATTGTAGTCGTTTCCACATTGGTAATTATTAAAATGTTGATTTTACATAAGTAATCAATTTATTGGTAAGCTACTGCGGTCTCGCTATCACATAAATATTGTTTGTTAATGATTTTTGACTTGCGTATTAGAATATGTCGTAGAACTAGTTCATAGCATAATTGAATGAAAATGTTCATGATGATCATGATTTATCTTGAAAACTAGCTTTTGTTGTTTTGTTGTTTTACACATAAACCTTCCTCTTGAATCACTCTATCTATGTAAAGAACCCCCATCAAATCTGTCCATCTGTTGCGCAAATTTAAAGATCTAAGCATACAGATACACAGACGGTGGTAAGCGATATTCTTTTATATTATGTAGTGATGTTCATGATAAATCGTGGAAAAATGTTTTTAGTCCTAGAATAAATTCCTTTGCTAAATTGTATGTAACTGTTGTTGTTGTCATTAATCAAGTTAAGTCTACTGAGACTGATCCAAGTACACAATGCTTGTGACATTTTCGTAATCCTCTGTGTCCTAAAGTCCCTGAAGAACGTGAAAAGTAACCACTTAAGAAAAACTTCGCCAAAATTTCCAATTATATTACTGTATTGCAGTAATTATTATCTTTCTATTTCTCCCTAGATACCGCGGGCAGTAATAGAACCGACTTTATTCACGACGCTAATATTCTTGGTTGCTGGACTTCATGGTGGGTTCATGGGATGGCTCGGTTTCAACTTCGTCTGTATCCTGTGTGCCAACTACGCGAACGCTTATGGTAAGTTCAAACTTTATATCTATTGGTCATCCTTAGCCCTTAGCCTTTTGCCTTTTCCTTTTCTTTAGTTCTTTGTAGTTAGAACCTTGCTTCATTTCAGTAACAATTAAGTATGTAATCGAAACTTCAGGTTTTTGTAGTTTTATATTGAAGAAAGTATTTTTTTTTATTTTTTTTTATGTATGTTGTATATGTTTATTCATTTCACAACATTTTAAGTATTCTCTTCGTTCAAATCAAATAAAATAAAATTCTAATTTATAACTAATAAAAATTATAAGGTTAATAAAATTTACTAGCAGTTAATTAAATTTTATCAGCTGGCAAGGCTATCAAAATTCCAAATTCAAAATTATGTTCATGGCTAGAATTACCAAAATTTAAAATTGGCATTGAAATTCCCTTTTCGAAATTCCAGGCTCATTCCTATCGGCGACGTTCAACTCTATGGAAACTGCTGCATTGGTATCTGTACCTTTCGACCTGATTGGCACAATGTTTTCTGGTCTATACTTAAACTTAGCTAGCGTCACACCTTATTTGTCATGGCTTAGATTCGTATCAGGGTTCTACTATGGCGTTGAAAGCATTTCGATCCTCCAATGGGATTCTATCGAGACCATTGAGTGTGTAAAAATAGATGGTATGCCTTGTATAAAGACAGGACCAGAGGTTTTGAGAAGGTTCGGTTTTGCTGAGGAACATTTTTGGCGTAACTGTATCTGTTTGTTCAGTATGTACTGCATAGCTCATTTCATTGCCTTCCTTATGGTCATGAAGAGGAGTAGAGGCACTCCTGTTTATTAGAAAATAGTTAAATTGTACATAGCTTTTAACTTTAGCATCACTTCGGGCTGCTTCGATTTAAACCCGTGCCATAAAGGTAAACAGGGTCTAGGTCAGTTAAGTTTCAGTTATAATTTACTCATTTATAAGTGTTTTCTAAGCCCTATTGATAAACTCAATGTCTTGATTGGCAGTAATTTGATAGATCTGATGAATTGGCTCAATAAATGTTATGAAGTTTTTAAAATTGTGTTTGGTTATTTCCTTTTGTCCCTTACCTTTCCTTTTTCTTATAATTTACAGTTCAAAAGCTAGTTCTGGTTTACAAACAGTTTGCAGCTTACTCATTTTATCGCATGCTGTACCTTATCTACTCAAATAGTTTTCCTTCGAAGCAGTGTAAGCTCAATAGCGCCATGGAATTAAATGTATGACCCACACTCCTACACCTGATGGTAACCCAATAAAAATATTAGAACACTGCTTATGTAAGTACTGATAGTTCTTCCTTTACTCTGCTTAGATATTCCATATAACATTACCGTAAAATTCCTTAACTATTCTTTACGTTGTACAGTCAATTACATTTTTTGTCATTAACTTTCAAATTATTGTAATCATACTAAAGTTTAATGTGTCTACAAAAAATCAAGGCTTTGTGTGTAAATCTATTTTTATTCGTAGTAAACTAATGATATTTTTTATTCAAATTATGTACTGATTTGATTGGAAAATTATATAATAACTGCAGGATAATGAAATGCCGTTTTAAAGAGGTAAAAACTTTAGCTTATCATTATTACATTATATTCTTTACTTATGTAAAGGCTGGCTTGCACGACGAAAGAATCATTTTGTCTTTTACGTTTATTTTTAATATGAAATTCTTTTTGATGTTTACTTTACCGATTTTGAGTTTGAAACCTAGTTTAAAGCATTTTTAATTCGGAAGTAAAGATAGTAAAGTCACTTAGACTAGCCCGCCTTTACGATTAAACTTTGTAACATCAGACTAATATGTGATAGAACTACACTTAACTATTTCAAATTGAGTAAATAAATATGCATAATATTTCCATTTCAAATACAACCTCTTTGGACTTTCCAGGCTCATTTCTATCAGCGACCTTCGACAAAATGGAAACGGCAGCCTTGATATCAGTTCCATACGACTTAATAGGATTAATGTTCTCAGGTATCTACCTGAATTTAGCCACTGCACCAATTTACTTCTCCTGGCTTCGATATATCTCAGGCTTTTACTATGGAACTGAGTGCATATCTGTATTGCAATGGAATTTAGTGACCAGTATACAATGTGTCAATGCTGAAGGCTTGCCTTGTATACGAACTGGGGCTGGAGTGCTCACCAGGTTTGGATATGATGAGAGGAATTTCTGGAGAAACTGCGCCTGTTTGGTGGTTTTGTACTGTGTTGGACATGTTGTGGCGTTTGCTATGGTGGTCAGGAGGAGTCGGGGTACACCGGTGTACTGATAATAATATAGAAGGTTTGTTTGACTGGTGTACCTACAGAAAATTGTCGTGACCTGTGACGAAGAAATTAAGAGTGGTTATCATTATACATAGTTACATTAACAATCATAATAGAAACGATTAATTAATAACAAAAAGTTCAATCACCAAATTACATTTAGCATTGCGTAACATTACACAATAAAACTTTTTTGCTAACAAACTTTTTTTGAGCGGCCAGAACGCAAAGAGGTTTTATACCTGACCACAGATAATAGCTATTATAAAGTCGTAGTATAATTTGAATATCGACAATGGTATAATCGTTTGACAAATTATAGAGCTACGTAGTGCTACGTAGATGGATGATAGCCGCAGAGAATAATCACATTAATCATGATACGCCACCCAAGTGTCGAAATGATTGGTTATGCTAGCCGTGGAAGATAAGACGTTTAAATCACTTAACGCCTATAAACGAATTATCGTATTGAGGAAACACGCCTGCTTCGAAGCAATACAGACGTTACCGACTAAACCTACGTCAATTTGTCCAAGTCCGTATAATGCATTTTGAACTTTACCGTTTTGCAATAAAGTCGAAAATCTCTTAAAGGATATTAGAGTTTAGCATAGCTTGACGTGCTGGCGGTCTCAATAATAGAAAAAATAAAATAGCAGACAATCAAATTAATTTTTCGAATTTAAAATTATGTAAAACATCTTTTAGTTATTACATTTCTGGCTATAATTTCAATAAATTGAGACGTTTATTAATAACCGTTTCTAATAATAAGTAACTATCGTGACCGTTATTTACAATTAAAAATAGAACAGAACAATCGCTTCTATTTAAAATAGAATCATCATTTTTTCTTTAAATAGCGGAGGACGTTTATGGTCAGGTACAATGAGATAAAAATAAAAGAATAAAACCTACATAGTTAATAGAACCGGCCAGTGATTCACGTTCGAATTACGAATAAGAAAAAAGAACTGGAAGCGACTTTTTATGTCCGAGTTCTCCATATTACGTTAGTACTTGGTTTGCTCACTGGGCCCGTGTATTTTGTCTATTGGGCCTCAAATATTTGTAAATAAAAGTAAATCTTTTTTGCATTACATTCTAAAGTGTAACATCATATAGGTATGTAGTAGGTATTGTTATAGTAGGTATTAAGAAGCTCAATGTATTTTAGTAAACTACCTCTGTAGAACATATTTTTATACATTGTATTTTAAACCTTAACTTCTATAGATTAAATTATCTATTTACTATCTGTTTTTTTACAAACATGTTAATATTTTAAGGAACTCTTGAAAATCGATTTAGACTAAGTATGTAATGTAATATTTTTTCTCTTAAAATACAAAATAAACATAACAACAAAAAGGTATACAATAGTTTTAATGAACATTAAAATTAAACCTTATTCTAATAAGCATAGCCTTTCTTTTCCTCCCTCTTTAACCCTAGGTATCCTAATAGGCACCAGATGAGAGTGATTAGGACAAATCCTAACGAATCTTGTAGTATAAAATTGTTCACGTATCCATTTTCCAATAACACTGTTGCACCATCCTTGACGCAGGTCGAAGTTTCATTTGTAGGACAATCTGAAAAAAGAAAATGTTTTCCATCAACATCGTCTAGATAATTAAAATAATTAGATAATAATATGTTTATCATAACACCTCTTTGGGAAAAAAGAATATTAATGCACGTTACATAACATAACATCACGCCTTTTATCCTCGAAGGGGTGTACACCTCTGCCTATTGTCTTGTTGTTTATTATGCCACTGTTCAATGTAACACCCACTTTTCACTATTTATGTTATGAGTCCCATGTAATAGGGGTTGAGCCTATTGCCATATACCGGGCACAATTCCAGAATCCGTGCTACTATTGAGAATTTTTTAAACACCGAGTAATACTTTGCCCGACCCGGGAATCGAACCCGAGACTCCGGCAGTCACACTTGCAACTACTCAGCCAACGAGGCAGAATTGTGCCCGGTATATGGCAATAGGTATATTGCAGTAACATTAGTTAAGGAGCCATAATGTGCACCTCTGCTACCCCTTCGTCGGGTTAAACCTACATAAGGATGATTTTAGAATATCAAGAACGCTACTAGAGATGGGTCTCTATAGTATAGCGCCACTGAACTCAATTATTTTTTCTGATATGCATAATATCCTTATGTCTATTATGTTATTATCTACACAACACCTTCGTCTTAATATTCTCATGTTGGCTACACGTGATCTACTAATTATATTTTGACTAGACATATACCAAAATGTTACAAATAATTGACTAGGGTTAACAACTTAATTTTGATGTTGTCTCTTTTTTAGTTCAGGTCAGGCAATCGTGGTATGTTCCTTTTTTTGATGCTCCTATATAGATAATGCAAAAATTCAGAAAAAAATATTAAAAGTTTTCCGATCTGAATCATCAAATACTTGATTAGAAGATAATATAATAGGGTAGATGCCTAATTTTTATTGTAATGTCCGTCTGGTAGATTATTTAAAAACATTAGACACGTAGGTATTTTTTATTTTCTTACGGAAACGAATACTTTCGACGATATATTGATTTAAAATGTCGCGTGACGTCACTTCTATGTACACTTTATACGTAGAAATGACGTTTTAGCCCCCACTCCTAAACTTTGATTCGTTTTATCCAAGTATTGTTTTCTTATAGGACAAAATAAAACAATACGTGTCTAATATTATTTCATTACCTAACTGACGGTAGTCCGTCAGTTAGGTAATCGAATCGAATTAGTATTCGATTTTTAATTTCCATACCCTGTCATCATACCTATTTGCGCAAAAAAAAGGAACGACAACGTATTTCGCAGCAAGTAACACATGTTACTAAAATACTTGGTATTCTAAGTATTTGTACAATGATATTTAATAACACTAGCTTTTTGTTGTTGTTGTTTAAACTCAATTTAGAATTAAAATATTAATAAGAAATATTTTAATCACATTACTAAAAGGTTAATTGCTAATGTTCTCACGTCCATCGATTATGATCTTTTAAATTTCATGTCAATCAAAGTCAGGTTTGAAATTACATTAGTTATACCAGTTCTAAATATTTAGTTTGGTTAGCTTAATGTGATGGAACTTGTCATTAGATATGATAATATTATTATGATTGTACAGACGTCATTATGAAAACGTACTGCATTTTGTTTTTAGCAAAATGTTGCGCAACATTTTTCTTCTTTGCGCTTTAGCGTAAGTTATCTACGCTAGCAAATTTTATGAGTCATCATCATCACATCAGGATTTCCACTGCTGAACATAGGCTTCCCCCAATGAATTCCAGATAGGCCGGTTGGAAGCGACCTGCGTCCAGCGGCTCCCTGCGACCTTGATCAGGTCGATTGCAGATGGACATCCCACGCTGCGCTTGCCGGTACGTGGCCTCCACTTGAGAACCCTTCTGCCCCAGCGGACGTCGGTTCTCCGCGCTATGTGTAATTTTATGAGTAAACTTTGCAATTTATTTTCAACTAGGTATCATTGTTAATTAGCAATGTAGATTATCATAACGAAATCTCAGTCTCATGCATGCATATTTTGGCTATAGGCTCATCTATTTCAAGGGACTACTTAAAACTACACCAGCGCCTCTATGCACAACAACAGTTCATAAACAAAATGTTATATTACGAACCTATTTTGTCACTATACTTAACCAAAACCAAAGCATTAAGTAAAGTTACGAATAAGTGAATTAA